ACTCTGCTGTAGGAGGGAGTGAGATGGAACAGATGGAGATTAGTCCACACACTCTGCTGTAGGAGTGAGATGGAACAGATGGAGATTAGTCCACACACTCTGCTGTAGGAGGGAGTGAGATGGAACAGATGGAAATTAGTCCACACACTCTGCTGTAGGAGGGAGTGAGATGGAACAGATGGAGATTAGTCCACACTCTCTGCTGTAGAAGGGAGTGAGATGGAACAGATGGAGATTAGTCCACACACTCTGCTGTAGGAGGGAGTGAGATGGAACAGATGGAGATTAGTCCACACTCTCTGGAGTGAGATGGAACAGATGGAGATTAGTCCACACTCTCTGGCGTGAGATGGAACAGATGGAGATTAGTCCACACACTTTGCTGTAGGAGGGAGTCAGATGGAACAGATGGAGTTTAGTCCACACACTCTGCTGTAGGAGGGAGTGAGATGGAACAGATGGAGATTAGTCCACACACTCTGTTGTAGGAGGGAGTGAGATGGAACAGATGGAGATTAGTCCACACACTCTGTTGTAGGAGGGAGTGAGATGGAACAGATGGAGATTAGTCCACTCTCTCTGCTGTAGGAGGGGGTGAGATGGAACAGATGGAGATTAGACCACACACTCTGCTGTAGGAGGGAGTGAGATGGAACAGATGGAGATTAGTCCGCACTCTCTGCTGTAGGAGGGAGTGAGATGGAACAGATGGAGATTAGTCCACACTCTCTGCTGTAGGAGGGAGTGAGATGGAACAGATGGGGATTAGTCCACACACTCTGTTGTAGGAGGGAGTGAGATGGAACAGATGGAGATTAGTCCACTCTCTCTGCTGTAGGAGGGAGTGAGATGGAACAGATGGAGATTAGTCCACACTCTCTGGAGTGAGATGGAACAGATGGAGATTAGTCCACACTCTCTGGCGTGAGATGGAACAGATGGAGATTAGTCCACACACTCTGCTGTAGGAGGGAGTGAGATGGAACAGATGGAGATTAGTCCACACTCTCTGGCGTGAGATGGAACAGATGGAGATCAGTCCACACTCTCTGGAGTGAGATGGAACAGATGGAGATCAGTCCACACTCTCTGGCGTGAGATGGAACAGATGGAGATTAGTCCACACACTCTGCTGTAGGAGGGAGTGAGATGGAACAGATGGAGATTAGTCCACGCACTCTGCTGTAGGAGGGAGTGAGATGGAACAGATGGAGATTAGTCCACACTCTCTGGAGTGAGATGGAACAGATGGAGATCAGTCCACACTCTCTGGAGTGAGATGGAACAGATGGAGATTAGTCCACACTCTCTGCTGTAGGAGGGAGTGAGATGGAACAGATGGAGATTAGTCCACACACTTTGCTGTAGGAGGGAGTGAGATGGAACAGATGGAGATTAGTCCACACTCTCTGGAGTGAGATGGAACAGATGGAGATTAGTCCGCACTCTCTGCTGTAGGAGGGAGTGAGATGGAACAGATGGAGATTAGTCCACACTCTCTGCTGTAGGAGGGAGTGAGATGGAACAGATGGAGATTAGTCCACACACTCTGCTGTAGGAGGGAGTGAGATGGAACAGATGGAGATTAGTCCACACACTCTGTTGTAGGAGGGAGTGAGATGGAACAGATGGAGATTAGTCCACTCTCTCTGCTGTAGGAGGGAGTGAGATGGAACAGATGGAGATTAGTCCACACACTCTGCTGTAGGAGGGAGTGAGATGGAACAGATGGAGATTAGTCCACACACTCTGTTGTAGGAGGGAGTGAGATGGAACAGATGGAGATTAGTCCACTCTCTCTGCTGTAGGAGGGAGTGAGATGGAACAGATGGAGATTAGTCCACTCTCTCTGCTGTAGGAGGGAGTGAGATGGAACAGATGGAGATTAGCCACACTCTCTGGAGTGAGATGGAACAGATGGAGATTAGTCCACACTCTCTGGCGTGAGATGGAACAGATGGAGATTAGTCCACACACTCTGCTGTAGGAGGGAGTGAGATGGAACAGATGGAGATTAGTCCACACTCTCTGGCGTGAGATGGAACAGATGGAGATCAGTCCACACTCTCTGGAGTGAGATGGAACAGATGGAGATCAGTCCACACACTCTGCTGTAGGAGGGAGTGAGATGGAACAGATGGAGATTAGTCCACGCACTCTGCTGTAGGAGGGAGTGAGATGGAACAGATGGAGATTAGTCCACACACTTTGCTGTAGGAGGGAGTGAGATGGAACAGATGGAGATTAGTCCACACTCTCTGGAGTGAGATGGAACAGATGGAGATTAGTCCGCACTCTCTGCTGTAGGAGGGAGTGAGATGGAACAGATGGAGATTAGTCCACACACTCTGCTGTAGGAGGGAGTGAGATGGAACAGATGGAGATTAGTCCACACTCTCTGCTGTAGGAGGGAGTGAGATGGAACAGATGGAGATTAGTCCACACTCTCTGCTGTAGAAGGGAGTGAGATGGAACAGATGGAGATTAGTCCACACACTCTGCTGTAGGAGGGAGTGAGATGGAACAGATGGAGATTAGTCCACACTCTCTGCTGTAGAAGGGAGTGAGATGGAACAGATGGAGATTAGTCCACACTCTCTGTTGTAGGAGGGAGTGAGATGGAACAGATGGAGATTAGTCCACTCTCTCTGCTGTAGGAGGGAGTGAGATGGAACAGATGGAGATTAGTCCACACACTCTGTTGTAGGAGGGAGTGAGATGGAACAGATGGAGATTAGTCCACACACTCTGTTGTAGGAGGGAGTGAGATGGAACAGATGGAGATTAGTCCACTCTCTCTGCTGTAGGAGGGAGTGAGATGGAACAGATGGAGATTAGTCCACACTCTCTGCTGTAGGAGGGAGTGAGATGGAACAGATGGAGATTAGTCCACACACTCTGCTGTAGGAGGGAGTGAGATGGAACAGATGGAGATTAGTCCACACACTCTGCTGTAGGAGGGAGTGAGATGGAACAGATGGAGATTAGTCCGCACTCTCTGCTGTAGGAGGGAGTGAGATGGAACAGATGGAGATTAGTCCACACTCTCTGCTGTAGGAGGGAGTGAGATGGAACAGATGGAGATTAGTCCACACACTCTGTTGTAGGAGGGAGTGAGATGGAACAGATGGAGATTAGTCCACTCTCTCTGCTGTAGGAGGGAGTGAGATGGAACAGATGGAGATTAGTCCACACACTCTGCTGTAGGAGGGAGTGAGATGGAACAGATGGAGATTAGTCCACACACTCTGTTGTAGGAGGGAGTGAGATGGAACAGATGGAGATTAGTCCACTCTCTCTGCTGTAGGAGGGAGTGAGATGGAACAGATGGAGATTAGTCCACACACTCGGCTGTAGGAGGGAGTGAGATGGAACAGATGAAGATTAGTCCACACCCTCTGGAGTGAGATGGAACAGATGGAGATTAGTCCACACTCTCTCCTCACCATCAAAAGAGGGATTTATGTTGTGGTGAGGAGTGAGTGGTGGTGGTGAGTGATGGTGAGTGGTGGTAGTGGTGGTGGTGAGTGGTGGTAGTGGTGAGTGGTGGTGAGTGGTGGTGGTGAGTGGTGGTGGTGAGCGGTGGTAGTGGTCGTGGCGAGTGGCAGTGGCAGTGGTGAGTGGCGGTGGTGAGTGGTGGTGGTGAGCGAGTGGCGAGTGGTGAGTGGTGAGCGGTGGTGGTGGTGAGTGGTGGTGGTGGTGAGCGGTGGTAGTGGTCGTGGCGAGTGGTGGTGGTGAGTGGTGGTGGTGAAAGGTGGTGGTGAGCGGTGGTGGTGAGCGGTGGTAGTGGTGGTGGTGAGCGGTGGTGGTGAGCGGTGGTGGTGAGCGAGTCACGGTGAGCAGCGCTTACCTTGAAGACGTGGGGCTCTGTAGCAGCGCTCTTCTTGCGGATCACCAACCCCCCCGGGAGAGAGCCGCTCGACCCTTCCAGGCGGTGCAGAGACGCCTCCACCACCACCTCATCATCATCCTCCTCCATCACCTCCTCCTACTCCACCTCCTCCTGCTCCACCTCCTCCACCTGCCGCCACACAGAAACCTGATCAGCTCCGTCTCTTCCCCAGCCGTGCCACTCGCCCGCTCACTCACTCGCTCACCCACTCAGTCACCCACTCACTCACCCACTCACCCACCCACTCACTCACCCACTCAGTCACTCACTCACTCACCCGCTCACTCACTCATCCACCCACTCACCCACCCACTCACTCACCCACTCAGTCACTCACTCACCCGCTCACTCACTCACCCACCCACCCACTCACTCACCCACTCACTCACCCACTCAGTCACTCATTCACTCACTCACCCGCTCACTCAGTCACTCACCCGCTCACTCACTCACCCACTCACTCATTCACCCACTCACTCACTCACCCGCTCACTCACCCACCCGCTCACTCACTTAGTCACTCACTCACTCACCACCACTCACTCACTCACCCGCTCACTCAGTCACTCACTCACTCATTCACCCACTCACTCACCCACTCACTCACCCGCTCACTCACTCATCCACCCACTCACCCACTCACTCACCCGCTCACTCAGTCACTCACTCACTCACCCACTCACTCACCCGCTCACTCACCCCCTCACTCACCCACTCACCCGTTCACTCACCCGCTCACTCACCCGCTCACTCACTCACTACCACTCATCACACTCCTCATCACACTCTCCTCACCACACTCTCCTCATCACACTCGCCATCACACTCACCATCACACTCATCACACTCCTCACACTCACCATCACACTCATCACTCTCATCACACTCACCATCACACTCACCACACTCCTCACCACACTCTCCTCACCACACTCACCATCACTCCTCACCACACTCACCATCACACTCCTCACCATCACACTCCTCATCACACTCTCATCACACTCCCCACCACACTCCTCACCATCACACTCACCATCACACTCCTCACCACACTCTCCTCATCACAATCCTCACCATCACACTCCTCACCACACTCCTCACCAAACTCTCCTCATCACACTCCTCACCACCCTCCTCACCAGCACACTCCTCACCACACTCACCATCACACTCCTCACCACACACTCACCATCACACTCCTCACCACACTCCTCATCACACTCCTCACCACACACTCCTCATCACACTCCTCACCACCCTCACCACACTCCTCACCATCACACTCACCATCACACTCCTCACCACACTCACCACGACACTCCTCACCACACTCCTCACCAGCACACTCACCATCACACTCCTCATCACACTCCTCACCACCCTCACCACACTCCTCACCATCACACTCACCATCACACTCCTCATCACACTCCTCACCACCCTCACCACACTCCTCACCACCACACTCACCATCACACTCCTCACCACAACTGTTGTGGTTGTTACTCACCCGGCCGAACGAGGTGGTGAGTGGTGAGGTGAGCAGCACGACGAGGTGAGTGGTGAGGTGAGCAGCACGACGAGGTGAGTGAATGAGTGAGCAGACGACGAGGTGACTGGTGAGTGAGTGGTGAGGTGAGTGGTGAGGTGAGTGAGCAGACGAGGTGAATGGTGAGGTGAGTGAGCAGACGACGAGGTGAATGGTGAGGTGAGTGAGCAGCACGACGAGGTGAATGGTGAGTGAGGTGAGTGAGCAGCACGACGAGGTGAGTGAGGAGGATCTACACGGCCTAGTCGCCTCCGCCGTGAAGTGCGTAGGCCCGCGCGGGGCCGGGACTACTTCTCAAGCGCATCGGTCGCCGGCCGAATCACAACCCAGACCCCATCTTGGTAAGGGGGAGGGATTCTTCCGCGTGACGTCACAGAGGGGGCGGGGTCGTCCTGGCAACCCCCCCCGCCCACACCCCCCTCTCACCTCCTCCCACCCCTCCCTTCTCTCCCCCCCCCTCCGCCTCCCTTACCAAGATGGCGGACGGGGCTTCCGGTCCCCCCGCCGTGGCTGCAGTGAGGACGGTGGCCGCGGCGGGGGCGGGCCGCTCGAGCTGTGATTGGCCGAGACGTGGAAGGCGTTTCGTAATTCACGCGGGGTGGGGTGGTGATGGTGATGACAATTTAACACGCGGAACACGATTTGGAATAATTTCAACTCCAGCGGGAATGAGAAATCCGAAGATCCGAGAAGCTCTTGCAGATATCCAGTCAGGTGGGGGGGGGGGGGGAGGGAGGGCACTACGGGGTCGGACCAGTTATAACAAACAGCAGAAAAATAATAATAAAATATATCTTCTATAAATAAAATGTATCTTATAGAAATAAATAAATTTAACAAAAGTATCTCCTGAGAAATTCTAAGAAAATAGTTTATTTTATTCCCGTAGCAATTTCTGGCCCACAAGACAAAATAAAATAGATTAAACCCTTTTACAAGCAATCAAATTTTAACCGCGTTAACAGCAAAAAAAAAAGACAAAGATCCCCCGTGCAGCCTGCAACGGACTGTAGGGGCAAGTGCTGTTAGCGGGGAGTAGCGGCGAGCACTTTTGTGAAGGCTACGGGCACTTGTGGGTGGCTACCAGCACCACCACCACCACCACGCCCGGCCGCCTTTGTCTCCCCCAGTGGCGATGTTTACTGCACACCGCACCAGCTACTGCTCATTTGAGGCCGAGTCGACCTCTAGGGAAGGCCCGGGACCTCCGCCCAACTCCCCACTTTGTGTTGCCCCTCCGGCCATGAGCGCGTTGCTTCAGCCCGTGATGCTTGCGCAGCACTTTCACCCGCCCATTCACCTGGGGAACCCTCATGCTGTACAGGAAGCTCCTGTGGTTACGTATTTCCTATTTAAGCTTCTGTTCATCCCTCCGCCCCCCCTCTCTCTCTCTCTCTGCCTCCCTGTCCGTCTTTCCTCCCTCCTTACCTCTTGGTGGACTTGTATATATGTATTTCTACTGACCGTGTACCTCGTATTTTTCATTCTATCTATGCTGGTACGTGCAATCCAAAGGTTTGAACACGAAAATGTAACACTCTTCTGAAATTCGTGGTCCGCCAGGAAGTGTCTACTTAACTGTGTTGTTGGCCTGACTGGATGTGGCTTCACGTAATGTTTTTTTTCAGGTTTGTTGAATTCTCGTCTCTCATCTTTTTGTTGTTGTATTTCACCTCCGTGATTCGTACCTTGACACCTGACGAAGATCGCTTGCGTTGTGATCGAAACGTCGTGATTGTGTTTTTTTGTTTTAATATAATTTTATTGTACTTCTACGTACGTGACTTTACCGAAAAAAACAATGAGTAATTTTATGCAGTCACGAAAGCTTGAATACTTTATTACTACACCACCAGCCCACAGGAGGGGATTATTGTGTCCGTCCGTCCGTCGTGCGTCCAAAAAATTGGGAGGGGTGGGGCTGGGTGGGGAGGGGCTGGGTGAGGGGTGGGGCTGGGTTGGGAGGGATTGGTCACCCCGTGGTGCCCTTATAAAACTCAACGTTTAACCTACTCACGCCGGCTTGTGCCCGCCCTCACAGTCGGGCAAATTTGCGGAATGCACCACGTGGTGCCGCCGTTGACCCTGGCCATTGACCGAGCAACCCAACGTTCCTACCAGCTCCCTCCGCAGGAGGATGTGTTTTACCAAAAGTGACGGTAAAAAAATAAATATGCGCAGTACAGTGAGTGTTGGAGCGAGTAGGCGAGCGAGTGGGTGAGTAGGCGAGTGAGTGGGTGAGCGAGTAGGCGAGTGGGTTTGTGAGTGGGTGAGTGAGTGGGTGAGCGAGTAGGCGAGTGAGTGGGTGAGTAGGCGAGTGAGTAGTTGAGCGAGTAGGTGAGGGAGTAGGTAAGCGAGTGGGTGAGTTGGTGAGTAAGCGAGTGAGTGGGTGAGTAGGCGAGTGAGTAGTTGAGTGAGTAGGTGAGGGAGTAGGCGAGTGGCTGAGCAAGTAGGTGAGTAGGCGAGTGGGTTTGTGAGTGGGTGAGTGGATGAGCGAGTAGGTAAGCGAGTGGGTGAGTTGGTGAGTAGGCGAGTGAGTGGGTGAGTAGGCAAGTGAGTGGGTGAGTAGGCGAGTGAGTAGGTGAGTGAGCGAGTAGGCGAGTGAGTGGGTGAGTAGGCGAGTGAGTAGGTGATTAGGTAGGCGAGTGGGTGAGTTGGCGATTGAGTGGGTGAGTAGGTGAGTGAGTGGGTGAGCGAGTAGGCGAGTGAGCAGGTGAGTGAGTAGGTGACGGAGTAGGCGAGTGGCTGAACAAGTAGGTGAGTAGGCGAGTAGGTTTGCGAGTGGGTGAGTGAGTGGATGAGCGAGTAGGTAAGCGAGTGGGTGAGATGGTGAGTAGGCGACTGAGTGGGTGAGTAGGCGAGTGAGTAGGTGAGTGAGTAGGTGAGGGAGTAGGCGAGTGGCTGAGCAAGTAGGTGAGTAGGCGAGTGGGTTTGCGAGTGGGTGAGTGGATGAGCGAGTAGGTAAGCAAGTGAGTTGGTGAGTAGGCGAGTGAGTGGGTGAGTAGGCGAGTGAGCAGGTGAGGGAGTAGGCGAGTGGCTGAGCAAGTAGATGAGTAGGCGAGTGGGTTTGCGAGTGGGTGAGTGGATGAGCGAGTAGGTAAGCGAGTGGATGAGTTGGTGAGTAGGCGAGCGAGTGGGCGAGTAGGCGAGCGAGCAGGTGAGGGAGTAGGCGAGTGGCTGAGCAAGTAGGTGAGTAGGCGAGTGGGTTTGCGAGTGGGTGAGTGAGTGGATGAGCGAGTAGGTAAGCGAGTGGATGAGTTGGTGAGTAGGCGAGCGAGTGGGCGAGTAGGCGAGTGAGCAGGTGAGGGAGTAGGCAAGTGGCTGAGCAAGCAGATGAGTAGGCGAGTGGGTTTGTGAGTGGGTGAGTGAGTGGATGAGCGAGTAGGTAAGCGAGTGGGTGAGTTGGTGAGTAGGCGAGCGAGTGGGCGAGTAGGCGAGCGAGTTCAGCTCTTCACGCGCGCGGTGCGAGCATCGGGGGCCCCCCTCGACCCACCTCCCCACCCCCCCCCCCCAGTCTCAACAACCAACTTCCGACTTGGGATTCTCAAATCAGGAGATCGATTTATTTCCACTCTCGAGCCGAAACGCCTTCCACACAGGCAACCTCTCCTCCATCGCAACGTAACAACATTAACCAAACCCAACGGAAGCTGTAAACAAATCTATTTGCTGAATCTTAAGACGGCCGCGAGGCAAGCGGCCGTCGGCAGGAATAAGGGGAAAAGCCGCCGAGGGCCGACTGTTTTTAAAGGTTTAAAAATGTACGGTGTAGCCCAAGGGTCTGTACTCCACATCACTCTTAACCTATAATTGAGCAATCTTTGCAATAACGTGATCGGCCAGAACCATTCGTTAATTGTGTTTTGACCGACCCTTCTGTGCTGCATCACATTCTTTCCAAATTTTACTAAATCTTGTTCGATTTGATGTGCTTCTCCCATCTCTCTTTGTCTCCCCCAACATGCTAATGCCTCGGCACGGAGACGCCGTCTCTCTGTGCTCCGTACGTTGTGTCTCTCTGTGTGTCTCCGTGTTAACTCCCTCTACTTAGGAGTCTGTATATATATCTGCGGTTATGTGTTTCCTCTCTCTCGCTCTTAAATTTAGCTCTTCTGTACCCAATGATTGCTTGCGTTGAAATCGAAACGTCGTATGCTATTACGTAATTTTATTATTTCTTATTTCTACGTGACTTTACCGAAAAAAACAAAGTGGGCGGGGCTAGTTATGTTAATGTGAGGCATTAGCATGTTACTGTGAGACATTAGCATGTTACTGTGAGACATTAGCATGTTCATGTCAGATCACAGAGCGAGCAATGTCCTGCTCGGCGAGGTGGCTGTGTTAGTGTGAGAAATTGAACCTCGATTTAAAGCTTTCGTGACTGCAAGGATTCATCTTCTTTGGTTCTTTCGGTAAAGTCACCACCACGTAGAGTGAGAATAAAATAATAAAATAACGCGATAAAATTCTCACGACGTCCGCTTGCATTGTGGCCGAAACGTCGTGAGAATTTTATCGTGTTATTTTATTATTTTATTCTCATTCTACGTGACTTTACCGAAAGAACCAAAGAAAATTGAACCTCGTGGGGGTCTTTTGCGTTTATTTAAAAAAAAAATCCATCGACGCAATTTTTCGCGAAAGAACCAAGAATATGAATTTAACCTGTTAATGTCAAATCAGAGAGCCGATAATAACATCGGAAGGTGGTAGGACTGGAACATCGAAGCCAGTTACGACTCAAAATTGGTGGATAACGTCCTTCCAATGATTGCTCAGCTTGTACCCAATCTTCTCGATTGAAATTGTGTCTATATACAGTGAGGGAAAAACGTATTTGATCCCCTGATGATTTTGTACGTTTGCCCACTAACAAATAAATGATCAGTCTAAAATTTTCATGGCAGGTTTATTTGAACAATGAGAGACAGAATAACAACAAAAAAATCCGGAAAAACGCATGTCAAAAATGTTA